CCTAGTGTTCCGTGTGGTTCTTGCTGGCGAGACGGTAGCGCGGGACACTTTAAATATAATATACATGCTTATGTTATATTTATATATATCTTTAATTTCTTTCCCTTATCTTTATTGATTTATTAAGAATTGAAGAATTATATGAATTAAAAGGGAGAAAGTAGGTAACATTAATTCATTCCTGATTTAATGGCAAATGTGAATTTCTTTCATTCAGTACAATTGTTGATGTGGGTTTGTGATAGGTACTGAGTTATGTTCCTTCTAATGCTATTTCTTGAGTGATTTTTGTCCTGGCATCCATTGATTACTGGGTATTTTTGAAGAGTCTTCAACCAATTCATTCCACCCTAGTTATTGCAACTGCTTGTATACAAAGAAAAATTGATGGTCAGGTCTTGTTTCTCAAACTGCTGAAGAAGCTGGAGAGAGAAGAAAATGATAATCTAGCCAGGTCTCACCATACATCACCCTCAGTGAGAGTCAGCATTTCTATAAACACAATAGGAATTGTTGCATGCATTTGATAAATTCCAAAGATATCATAAATTGACTCTGACCATTTTAAGGAACTTTCACTAAAATTCCCAAAGAATTGATTTGGGGTAGAAGACACATACCTGACAAATTTAGGATTTTTTTTTGTATTTTTGAAAAGAACTTGATTTCTCCAGGATTTGTATTCATGGACAGAAGTTTCTTGTCATTCAAACATATTCTATTTCAAATTCCCATAGGTAGGTTTTTTTCTTTACATGCAAACTGAATACACTCATAATGAATTATTTTTTCATGATGTACATTTCTTTAATAATTCAGTTCTGCATACCAAATCACTCATCTCAACAAGAACACGTTAGGTACCATGGATATTCATTTAGATCATTTAATCTGTGGGTCAATCCTTTTAATATTTTTTCATATTTAATTTTAGAAGCCATATCATTCATTAATGGAATTAATTTATACATTTATATCTTAATATATCCATTGCCATTATTGTTTTCAATGTTTGTTGACAAATTTATAAATTGATATAACCACCACTGAATATACAGAAAATTTTCATTAATCTAGGAAATTCATTACACTCAAAAATAATATTTTCTTGTTGAATTGGTAAAAAGCGTTTTTATTGCATGCAATTTCATTGGAAAATTTTCCTCAATCAAGTATAAAAGGTATCGTCCTGAACTAAATCATGACACAATTCATCAATATTTTACAGGATCACTTTTCGATCCCTTCTCTTCTTGTTTGGAAAGACAGTCTCCTTCTAACAGCTGGTCTTCACTTATGTCATTTTCAGATACTGACTGGAGAAAAGGACTTTGTATCCCCTTCACAAGCCAACTATATTGGTCAGTTTATCTGCCAGAATGAACCACTTGGAACCATTTGTAATAATATACTTTCATTATTATTTGAATATAATCCAAAAAATTTAAATGAGGTATGATTTTGGTTTTAAGTTATTTTTTCTGTTGATGGTATAATTGTGATGTATTATTATCTCCAAAGGTAAATAATAAAACCTAGGCAATTTGTCCACCCAGCATACTATTATCTTAACTTATTTTATGTAATTAATGTAAGTCAGTATTCACCAAACATACAATTTCTAATGTAAAAACACACAGTTTCATGGAATTCATAAATCTTTCTGAATATCACATTTTCAAGATTTTTAAGCTGTATCTTTCACCTTCTTTTTAGTAGATTGGTGTCAGTAATCTTATCACTGGTCACTCATTTAAAAGGTTCTTTGAGAAAATGTAATTTTGCTAACTAATTTCTTACACAAAAAAAATAGATTTTATTCTGCAGTGAAATTTTACTCTTTCCAAACTGATCAAAGGGTTAAATCACAGAAATAAAACTACTGCTTGTACTGGCACCCCTTCCCTTTAAATGGACATCGTGCTCAGCCTAGATATAGTAGAGAGGGCCTTGTTCCTGCCTCAAAGTAGTGTGCTTAACCCTCTCTGAGGAGTAGATTGCAGAGAAGGTGGAAGGAATCGGAAGAGAGGAGGGAATGGGAACTGGATTGGTATGTAAAATGAAAAGAGATAGTTTTGGTTTTGGTTTTTTTTTTTAATAAAATTAAATTTAAGAAGAAGCCAAAGTTCTACTATCTTGAAAGCTTCCTGTTTCTGAAAAATTCTACTTATTTACCAATACACATTATGCTTACTTTCCTCTAGAGCTGGATGGACGTGTACTTGGGGCAGTGTCCAGTAGGAACATCAGCTCAAAGTATACTGCACTATTCCCAGGTGTAATTCCTTCCTTCTTTGATCTTTTGTTCTTTGAAACATGCCATCTTTACTTATATTTGTGTGGTTTTCTAGCCAAAGCATTTCACCTTTTTAAGCATTAAGGAATACATTCTCCAATGCCAATAGGTAATTTGAGGGACGTAAGTATGTGTGAGCAGAATTATCTCATCTTTAAGTCCTCAGAAGTTATATTTCTTTTCAAAAATGAAATTTCATCCCATTTTTTAATGTTAAATTAACACCAATTTTTACAAGTTCCAGGGAATGGTGAATGATAAGTATTTCAAAAGCCTATTATGTGGTCTTAAAAATTAAGAAATGTTTTGTCCTTGCTTACTCAAAAACAAACAAAAATATTTGCACTAATGGTAGAATTAAGTTGTGCACATTTTCAGTAAAATAGATTTAGCCAGAAATAATTATAGTAAATAAATTATCCAGTCCTCAGATATAAATTGGATAAAATCTTGCTTGTGTAGCTCCTAGATTTAATACAGAGATTTATTGTTTTATTTTAATTTCAGAAACAATATTTAGAGAGTTCCTCAATCTTAGTGTTTCCACTTTAGCAAATGTCTTTTTAGTTACATATGTCTGAAGATCAGACTGCTGCTATAACCACATTCCTTATTTTTCTCAAATCAGCAGAATTAACAATTATATTAACAAATGTTTCAACACAAATCTGTGTTATTTCTTGTGTCTTCTCTCGTAGATAAAATTGAGAAGATTTTAGTGCGAAGTCTAATGAATGAAAATTTTAGCCACATGTCACAGTGTTGAATGAAAATGCTAATTTCATGAGTTTTAAATATTGTTTGATGCCAGTTGAATTATAAACCACCAAAGCAATCTTTATACTATTAGAAAATGGACATTACATATATATATATATATATATAATTTTTCAAGTAAGGTTGTTTTTACTTGAACTCTCCTAATTCAAAAGATTTTGTTTAAAATTATCTATAAGTTGAAATTGATTTGTCATGATATACAAAACATAATATTATTAGGACTTGCCTTTAAAATAAGAACAATTATTTGCTCATCATGAAATTATAATAAAAGTTATTTTGAATCAATTTTTAGATATTTTCTTAGGGGACAGCATAACAAGTTAAACAGTTAAAAATTATTAAAATGTGTGGAAAGTATCATTTGAAATGTTAACATTTCAATACTTGTTATACTTATTAGACATAACCTATAGGAAAACATTTTGTAGATGCTTAGCTGGTGGCACCTAGAATTGGGGCAACAGTAGTCGTATTATGGAACACACTGGATTTTCACCCAACAGCTATATTATCAAAAGAGACAGTAAGCTTATAGTAATTTCTGATTCTATTTTTTAAACAATAATGTGTTTTGTCCTTTTAAGCTCGCTAATAAAGGTACATTTCAAGCTTATGACTGGGGAAGTCCACTTCTAAACACGCAACACTACAATCAAGTAAGTTTCCTTTATTCAAATGCATTGACTCTTCCCTGTGGGAAAGAACAGATCTAACCAAATACTCAGATTCAAAAGATGGTGGAATTGCTTTACATTTCCCAGGAATATGAGGAAGAGAGAACCTGGGATGCGCTGACAACAACGTGGTAACTAGCTCTCTGGCAAAGCACTGTGCAAGGCACATCCCTGTGAACCATGTCATTTGAATTTCACACTCTGCGAACTGCCAGACATTATTGCTCCCATAATCTCATACATAAAGAAACTAAAATCTGGAGAGCTTTAAGTTTTGAAAAATCACCCAGTTTATCTCAGTTAAGGCATGATAAATAATCTGTTCCTAAATGAAAATAAAAGTTGAGATTTCATAAATAAGCTAATGGTTTAATCAGGTATCACCCTTATCACTTCATTGGATAGAATTTTTATGTGTTATCTTTTCTCGTTTTCCTTCAGACCACACCTCCATTTTACAAGGTGGAGAACATGAAGGTCCCAACTGTCATGTGGAGTGGCGGACGGGATACTTTGTCAAATCCAAAAGATGTTGCATATTTAGAACCTAATATCTCTAAGCTCGTTTACCATAAGAGGATTCCTGACTACAATCATAATGATTTTGTATTAGGTTTAGATGCTTTTCATCAAGTTTTCAGTGAAAATTTATCATTCATCAATAAAGATCAATCACATTGAATCTTTTATAATTTCTTGTGTGGTTTCTTTTTTGTTGCTCATTTATTTGTTTGTAGGGTTTTTTTTAATCTCTTCCTTTTCTCTGTATAAACAATTTCTCAGTTGTCTCTTTATTCTTATTTCTTTTGATTTGCAAATTATTGAATCATTTTTCTAAAAGTAGGAGCATTAGTAAAATATTTCCTTTACCACAACTGCTGTCTGAGTCATGAAATTAGAAATTAGTCCTGAGAGCAGAGATCATTTAGGAATGGGGCCTGTGTTTCATATGAAGAAAGTGAAGAAAGATACTCCTGAAATAAGGCAGGTTGTGATATGTCTATGTGAAATATCAAATCAAAAAAGGGGTTAACAGTGTGTTCCAGTTTTTAAAAAGTAAATCAAGTAGGAACTTGTCAACCAAGACTCTTGGTTATTGAATATCTCAGGAATTTACTGAATTTTTACCTGGTGGTGCTCAAAGCACCTTGTTGCAGTAGGACTAACAAGAAAATAAGGCAAGCTGTGAGGGCAGAGTACTATTATAAATCTTTACCATTCATCCAAAAACACTAAGACACAAGAGGTAAATTAATCTGGATTTTTCTCCATTCAAAATTTTGATACGTATTCCATCACCTCACTTGATAGGCTTAATTATAGAATCCCATCCATCAGTTTGAGAAATGGGAGAAATAAAAAGTGGAGGAAATAATAGCAGAGCAAAGAAAAGAATGAACTAGGAGCAGTAACACAAACATGGAATGTGGAGTGATGGCTAAAACAGAAGGAATATATGTAATGCCTCACTCATGAGAGATTGAGTAAATATCTTTTATAAAAATCTAAGAAAACCTACATCAGTTCCTAGATGAACTACATCAAAACCACCTTCCTCTCAAACAAAATTTGAAAAAAAAAGACTGAGAGCAACAAGAAGCATACAGCTTTACCTGTTTAATAAAAGAATTGTTGGGGTATGGTCTCTGTTACCAAAACATATAAAGTC